GATAGGGAAGGAAGGATGGAAGGTTTAGGGGGAAAAAGGGGATAGGGGAGGGAAAAAGGGGTTGGGGGAGGATGGAAGGTTGAGGGGGAAAAGGGGATAGGGAAGGGAGGAGGAAAAAGGGGTTGGGGAGGGAAAAGGGGATAGGGAAGGGAAAAAAGGGTCAGGGGAGGGAAAAAGGGGAGAGGGAAGGGAGGATGGAAGGTTTAGGGGGAAAAGGGGATAAGGAAGGAAAAAAGGGGAAGGGGAAAAGGGGATAGGGAAGGAAGGATGGAAGGTTTAGGGGGAAAAAGGGGATAGGGAAGGGAAAAAGGGGTCAGGGGAGGGAAAAAGGGGTCAGGGAAGGAAGGATGGAAGGTTGAGGGGGGAAAAGGGGGATAGGGAAAGGAAGAAGGGGATAGGGAAGGGGAAAAGGGGAGAGGGAAGGGAAAAAGGGGATAGGGAATGGGAAAAGGGGATAGGGAAGGAAAGATGGAAGATTTAGGGAGAAAAAGGGGAATAGGGAAGAGAAAAAGGGTCAGGAAAGGGGAAAAGGGGTCAGGGAAGGGAAAAAGGGGATAGGGAAGGAAAAAAAGGGTTTGGGGAAGGAAGGAGGAGGGGGAAGAGGTTACAAAAGTTGCCTCAGTGCCAGTGGTTTTCCAGCCCGGGATAAACTCCTGGGAAAACTCCTCCCATCCCATCCCATCCCATCCCATCCCACCCCATCCCACCCCATTCCATCCCTGGAAAAGTCGGGAATCACCCCCAGGCACAGCAGCCCCAAAGCACTTTTCCCCTCCCCATTTCCCAGAAATCCCCCCTTCCCAAACTCCATTCCCAAGGATCTGCCATTCCCAAGGGATCCTGGGATCACCCCCCCACCCCTCCCCAAGCCTGGATTTCGGCTCCATCCCAGCGTTTTGAAGGAGCAAATATCGGGACTTGGGAAGGCCCCTTTTCCCACGGGAATCCCGAAATCCCGACTCGAATCCAAAGCTTTTTTTTTCCAGCTTTTCCAACGGGGACAAATCCTCGATTTGGGAATAATCAGGATGAGGAATTAAAACTGGAAAAGTGCTCCTGGGATCATGCTGGAAAAGGCACATGCAGGAATGGCCATGGAATGGGAGCGAAGGGAATAAAAACCCTGGGAATGCCGGGAACGGCCCCGGAGCCAAACGGAGGGAAAAAAGAGGGAGAAGGAATTCCTTGGATCTGTAGTCCACGGCCAAAAATCCTTCCCAAACTCTGGGAATAACGTCCTGCCCTCCCAAACTCTGGGAATAACGTCCTGCTTCCCTGCCCAGGATGAATATTCCAAGCCCTGATCCCGGATCTGGCTCCAGGATCGTTTTCCCTCGAGGCGTTTAATCCCATTCCCGCAAAAAAAGCGGGATATTCCATGGATATTCCGCCTCTTCCCAGGGAATCTCGGGGCCTTGGGATGTCCCTGCTCCTCCCTGGGCCACCTGATCCCGGTTTTCCATGGATTTTGTCCCCCAAAATCCGCTCCGGGATCTCAGGAGAACATTCCAAGGGATTCCCACCGGTGGGAATTCGGGAATTTCCCCCTGGATCGGCCCCCGGGGGGTTCCAGCACAGGGAATCTTGAATTCCCAACTTCTCCAGGGAATCTTGAATTCCCTCCCATTCCAGGGGATCTTGAATTCCCTCCATCTCCAGGGAATCCCAAAACAATTCCCAAAGGATCTTCTCCCTGTTCCACAGGGGAGCAAAGCCATTCCAGCCCTCGGGAGCATCCCGGGATTTCCATCCTGGAAAACCTGCAGGGCTCTCGGCTCCTCCAGCCGGAGACACGGCGGGAAAAATCCTCCAATCCCAGCCCATTCCAAAGGGAAATGTCCTCTTCATCCCATCCCATCCCATTCCAAAGGGAAAGGTCCTCCAATCCCATCCCATTCCAAAGGGAAACATCCTATCCCATCTCATTCCAAAGGGAAATGTCCTCCAATCCCATCCCATTCCAAAGGGAAATGTCCTCTCCATCCCATCCCATC